TCTTCTTTTTCTTCTTTTTCTTTTTTTTTTTTTTTTTGTACCAGGGATCAAACTTGGGACCTTTTGCTTGAAAGGCAGGAAATGGAACCACTGAGCTAAATCCCCAGAACCTCTTCATCTTTTTTTATATTTGGCTTCTCTAACCTATTGAGATAAATGAGAGCAACCTAGTACTCTCATTTTTCCCAATTCCTTACCCCTCCATGTGAGGTGCTGACAGTAACCCAAGAAGAAGACAACTCTAAATAAACCAAATTGAAAGACAACCAGGAGAACTCTTCTTGATAACAAGTTCTGAAAACCTCAGCTTTGCATGGCTGGGGTATACTCAGTGGTAGGGCACTTGCATACCACATATGAGGCCCTGGGTTCCATCTCGAGCACTACAAAAGCAATCAATCTATTAAATCAAATAAAATAAGATCTCTGCTTTGGTCAGCTAGTCTAGCTAGTCTCAGAAAGGCCAGAGGGGAGAAGAAGGATGAGAGATGACTCCTACTGACTAGCATTTTTCTTGGACATTCTCAGAGGCTAAGAAACATAAAAATTAAGGAATAAAATCCTCTGTAATTCAAAAAACTCCCTTTTCACAGCTGTTGAATAGAAAAGGCTGGAACCTTTCCAGATAACTGGGTGTTGGCTGTGGGTCTGGAAGATGAGATAGAAACGCTTCTGTTGGATCCCATTGACTTCTAAGGTGAGAACCGCAGGCAATTTGGATGAAAACCCGATTTCTCCTGTACTTGTGAAAACCCAACCAAACCCACAGCCTGCCTGGAATCATCAAGTCCAGGGTCTCTTGGCAGTTTTCATGACAGTAGGAAATCTCTCCAGGCTCTAGCTGGGATGGCTAGTGCTTGGGGACAGGGGCCACTACAGTGCTTTGCCCTATGCCATGGAGCTCTAGTCCACCTATTAGACAAAGTCTCTGAGTTTAGGATCTCTCCACCCACTGTGCTGTGCAAAGGTATTACACTGAGTCTTAGGTAGTGACCAGGGAGGTAAAAATGTATCATGAGTGATATCTTTTCTATTCTAAGTGAACTCTCTGACTTCACTCTAGAAAGCAGCGGGAGCCTTCTTCTGGAAGGAGGGAGCCCCTTCTGAGGAGGTAGAAGTCCTTTATACACTCTGCCCTGGGCTCTACCTCCCATTTGAGCTGTAAGGAAACAGATTCATCTTCCCATCTCATAGGAGCCCAGAGAGCTTCAGAGATGGGCATAAAACTCTACAGCAGGACACTCACAAAATTCTGACAAGAGCATGATCCTCTGCCCCCCCCCTTGGTGCTCTTTCTCCTAGACAATACCACAAATGTCCCAGGTAGAGACAATAGACAGTAGAAGGAATACATCATATGTGATGGACAAGGCAGTATTCTAACCTAAAATGTATACTTGGGACACGCTGCTGACCATCTGGGTTTTTGTTACTGTTTCGTGGTGCTGGAGATCAAACTCAGAGCCTTGCGCATACTAAGCAAGTGCTCTACCACCAAGCTACACCCTCAGCATTTTTACAATTTGTTTCGTGACAGACTCTTGCTACATTGCCTAGGCTGGCCTTGAACTCGCGATCCTCCTGCCTCAGCCTCAGCCTCAGATTATAGTCATGTGCCACCACGCTCAGCCCTGATCATGTGTTTTGGGGTCTTGGAATGGCACGTAATAGGGCTAGGATACTTTTCCTTAGTCCCTTCCCTGGGACATTTTCACATGACCCTTTCAGGGTGGGGGGGATCCAACCGTAATGAACGTATCACTAGTGATGAAAATGATCAAAGCTGTTGTCCTAGTTGCATAACTCGTTGTGGAAAGTGTTTCATAAACATTTCACAAGAAGGAGCATTTCAAAGTGTGAACATCTCCCAACCTGCCTTCAATTACAGGCAAGAGTTTTTTTCTTTTCCCTACCCGCACCCCCTTCTATACGTCTCCCTAACAGTGAGGAAGAGTTTCTGTTTTGTAAGTGATCTGTAGAGAGCTGGCAAATGTGTTCCTCATGAAAACCTTCTAA